GAGAAAGGGACGAGAGAGAAAGAAGGAAGGAAGGAAGGAAGGAAGGAAGGAAGAAAGAAAGAAAGAAAGAAAGAAAGAAAGAAAGAAAGAAAGAAAGAAAGAAAGAAAGAAAGAAAGAAAGAAAGAAAGAAAGAACTTCTTGGAATTTGACAGCCCTTTAACTTCTACCTCATTTGGGCTTTGACATCATGCATCTTGAGTTAAACCCCTTTTGAGAGAAAGCAATAATTATTTTTTTCCCTTTTGTAGATAAATTTGAGTCCCCTAACTTAATGCTAAAACCCCGCAAGGAAGATCATCCATTTGCTTTCCATTGATTTTGTTTTAAATCCACTTTGTTTAAGATGGAAGAATTGCAAGACGTGATGGCTGACACTGTGGCTGGGTGCCTCCTACCATCATAGGAGATGCTTCGTATCGGGCACAGAGCTAAAATAAATTAAAGCCACCTTGGAGTTGAGTTTAATCCATTCTGTTTTCTTAAGGTTATATGAAAAGGGTTTGGCACATTTTTTTTCTCCTACTACTGGTTATAAGAGAGAAATGTAGTAATAAGGAGAGATACGCAGAAGAAGCAGGTTTAGGAAATGATGGATTCAGGCCATGAAGTGATTGGGAAGGAAAGGAATGAAAAGTTTCTATAGAAGTAGTTGTAATAGATAACAGAATGCCACTAAGAACAACAGAGTTGGAAGGGAACTTGGAGATCATATAGTCCAACCCCCTGCTCAGGCAGGAGACCCAAACCATTTCAAGCAAGTATCTGTCCAGTCTTTTCTTAAAAAACCTCCAGTGATGAAAACACCCAGAACTTCTGGAGGCAGGCCTAGAAAGTTAACTTTCTTGGGGGAAAGTGAAGTTTTTTTTCCCTTCTTTTAATTTTATTGATTTTTTTTAATTAATTACATTTCTTAGTGCTTAATAAACACCGTGTTGTCTGGCTATTTAATTCACTTAACAATACTGATTACATTCTTCATCTCCACCCCCTTTTTTCCCCAACCACTGATAAAATAGATTCCATGATTGATAATATTCTGTATCTTCCTTCTGTTTAATTTTCAATCTCAATCTGTCCATTTCTGCACAGACCAGTATCTTCTTCATTATCTCTTCATCTTGTGGTATTTCTTCATTTCTCCAATGTTGTGCGAATGTAATCCTCGCTGCTATTAGGATATGTAATATTCAATACATATTTTTCTTACCTAATATTTTTTCCTGATATTATACCTAATAAAAACAGTTCAGGTTTTTAAATCTATGTTTCCCTATTACCTTTTCTAGCCCCCTGTGTATCTTTCCCCCCCCCCCCCCAATTTTCTTTTTTCCTTTAACACATATTCCAAGTGTCTTCGAACTTGGCATCTTTAAGACTTGTGGGCTTCAACTCCCAGAATTCCTGAGCTAACGTGATTGGAGGAGGAATTCTGGGAGTTGAAGCCCACAAGTCTTAAAGTTGCCAAGTCTAAAGACCCCCAGACATATGATAAAATATGCCCGTTTTTCAGTTACATCTCCAACATTTTGTCCCCTAAGACTATTATTAAGTGTTGTACCTGATGATTCTTGATGAATGTATCTTTTCTTTCATGCAGACTGAGAGCATTTGCAACAAAGACAAATTCCTTGTGTGTCCAATCACACATGGCCAATAAAGAATTCTATTCCATTCCATTCTATTCTATTCTATTATCTCTTTTGTCTTCTTCTCTTCCCTTCCCTTCTGCATTCTTTTCTATTCTTTCCTATCCTATCCTATCCTATCCTATCCTATCCTATCCTATCCTACTCTATTTGCTAGACCTATTTTTAAAAAATTTAGCTAATCTATCTAGCAGGTGGTAAAAAGTGAAGTTTTTGTGTCCAACATGATGAGATACAGTAGGTGTTCTTCTGGTGGACTTAAATTCGGCTAGGTAGTGTCGCTTAGCTTGCCCATCTTGGCTAAGCTGGCTCAAACCTGGTTAAGACGTGGACAGACAAGGCTATCCCAGGGCTGTGAGCTTAGACGGGGAAGTTGAGAAAGTTTTCCAGAAGTGTGACACCACTTCTCAATTGTGGCCCAGATGGCTGCATGGGACATACCTGTCAGGCAGAGCTTGATAGAAAAGACAAAGACTTTACTTATAAGGATAACAGAGAGCCAATGATCTAGAACCCGAAACTGTCTGACTCTAGAGAAGAAATCCAGAAGAAGAGGAAGAGAGAATGAGGCTAGAGTTGGGCAATTGCAGATAGTCCTCAACATTACCGTTTGCTAAGCGAGACAGCTGTTGAGTGAGTTTTACCCTATTTTACCACCATTGTGAAGCGAATCTGGTTTCCCCATTGCTTGTCAGAAGATCACTAAAAGGGATTGTGTGACCCCAGGAACACTGCGTCCATCATAAATACGAGTTCAGGTGCCAAGCGTCCAAATTTTGATCATGTGGGGATGCTGCAACAGTCATAAGGGTGCACAACGGTCCTAAGTCACTTTTTGTCAGTGCCTTTGTAACCTCGGTCACTAAATGAACTGTTTTAAGTCAGGACTAGCTGTGGATTTACATTTAGGGACGTGGTGGCTCGGTGGCTAAAACGCTGAGCTTGTTGATCAAGAAGGTCGGCAGTTTAGCGGTTCGAATCCCTAGCGCCGTGTCATGGAGTGAGCTACCCTTACTTGTTCCAGCTTCTGCTAACCTAGCAATTCAAAAGCATGTAAAAAATGCAAGTAGGAAAATAGGGACCCTTTTGGTGGGAAGGAAACAGCATTCTGTGCCCCTTCGGCATTTAGTCCTGCCGGCCACATGACCACGGAGACGTCTTCGGACAGCGTTGGCCCTTTGGCTTTGTGGCAGAGATGAGCAGCACCCCCTAGAGCTGGAAATGACTAGCATGTATGTGCAAGGGGAACCTTTACCTTTACCTTAGCTGGATAAAGACAAGGCACTGTATAGTAACTGAAAATCAAAATTTGCCTCTTTAGTTCAACTATTCAAGCTCTGGCAATGATAAACTTCAATTTTTTTGTGATAAAGTCAATGTCAAACAGTAAAGTATAGGAAGTCCTCGACTTACAATGACAGGGGAGCCCCAAAATTTATGTGGCTAACCGAGACCTTCGTTAGAGTCAGTTTTACCCCATTTTACGATCTTTCTCGCCACCGCTGTTAAGCAAATCACCGGAGTTATGAATTTAGCAACATGGTCATTAAGTGAATCTGGCTTCCCCATTGGCTGTGCTTGCCAGAAGGTCACAAATGGGGGACCCCGTGACCCCCTCCCCCACCATTATAAATATGAGTCAGTTGCCAAGCATCCGAATTTCGATCGCGGGGACCCAGAGGAATCCTGCAAAGTTCGCCACTCTGAGAAAACGGTCACGGGTCGCTTATTTTCTGGGTCCGATTTAACTGTGAACCGTCACTAAATGAACCATCGTAAATCAGAGACTCCCTGTATTCATGGAGAATGGAAGAATTGTCCTGGAACAAAGGAAAGAAGCTGATTTTACCAGAACAGCCTCTGAGATATTCCCTGAGCGCCTAACGTACAGCTTAGTAACCTTGAAAACTCAAGAGTAGTAAACACGAGTGATTGAAATACCATGTGGAGGAAGAGAGCTTGGGTTAAATTGCTTTGACATCTGCACATAGTAGTAACAAAATTGGTTTTTCTAAGCAAATCATGGCAACTTGCTATTTTTCTCCGCCTCTGTGCAATTTCACTTCGGCAATGCTGATGTTTCAAGTTTGTTCCCCAGTGGAGTAAGATGCTTTGTGCAGAGTTTACAGATTGCCGATAAACGGAGTGGGAAGAGACCTTGTAGGTCATCTAGTCCAACCCTCCGTCCAAGCAGGAGACGTATTTTCTTGTCTTCTGATGCATTGGAAAATAGGTTGACACCCCCCCCCACTCTTCTCTATGACAGCCCCTCACATGGGGGGGGGAGGACCAATGGAACTGGCTTGCAAAAATCTGGGGGACCACCAGATCGAGCCAAAGAGTTATTGGGATCCATAGCAGAGAGGGGGCGAAATAGCAGATCTGGGCTGTTGGCTCAGCAGTGTGGGTGTGCTGTGTTGAACATGAACAAGCATGACCGGCTCAAGGTTGACTCAGTCTTCCATCCTTCTGAGGTTGGTAAAAGGAGGAGCTAGATTGTTGTGGGCAAGTGGCTGACTCGGTAAGTCACTTAAAGAAGGCTGTAAAGCATTATAAAGCTATATATAAGGGCTAAGGGCTATTGCTAATTGGGAAGGAAGGAAGGAAGGAAGGAAGGAAGGACAGTGGTGGTGTAGTGGTGAGACTCCGGTATCACAGACCAATTCTGCTGACTGTCAGGAGTTCAATCCTGACTGGCTCAAGGTTGACTCAGCCTTCCATCCTTCTGAGGTGGGTAAAATGAATGCCCAGATTGTTGGGGCCAATATAGCCATAGTCCTTAGCCTTATATACTGCCTGACAGTGCTTCGCAGCCCCCTCTAAACAGTTTGCAGAGTCAGCGTCTTGTCCTCCAACAATCTGGGTCCTCATTTGACCCACCTCAGAAGGATGGAAGGCTGAGTCCACCTTGACCCAGTCAAGATCAAACTCATGGCAGTGGGCAGAATCGACCTGCAATGCTGCATTCTAACCACTGCACCACCACGACTCTTGTGCTGACTTTTGTAAACTTCTCAGCGAGTGCCATAAAGCACCATGAAGCAGTATATAAGTCTAAGGGCCATTGGCTAAGTGCTAGGAACCTGCCCTTCGTCGAATCGCAAGCAAAGGCTTGTGAGACTTGGCTTTCCAGATTTATGGTATCTGCCGTCTGTTAACTTGCAGGAGGAGTGTCTCGTTTGCTTCTATGCTCTTAGTCCTGCGCCAGCCCATTGCTTCCAAAGGTACGTGCCAACTTTGATGGTGCACATGAGCAAGTGGGCCTGTCTTCCTAACAGAGGCACGGCCCCAAAATTCTGAGACGTTCATGTTGCTTGCAAATCCTTCATGCTGCTTCCTCTCCTTTTATACAGGAAACTATGCCACAGACACCGATATTTTCCAGCATGCTCGGGACAGGATGCCGAGGACAGGTGACACCAGACACCGGCGAGAGGAGTGGTGATCCTGTTTATCAGGATGGGAATCTCATTTCTGGATCCCTGGAGGTCCTCATCCAGCATCTGGTACCCACCATGGATTACTACCCAGACGTAAGTAGATGGTTGAGAGTGGCACTCAATCTTTTGGCTGCTGGTTTCCTAGCTTCAAGCATTGGCAATGTGCCCTGTGAGATTTCTCCCATTTTATAACCTTTCTTGGCACTGCTGTGAAGCATATTGCTGGCGTGGCTAAGTTAGGAACGCAGTCATTAAGCGAATCTGGTTTCCCCAGTGGCTTTGCTTGTTGGAAGATTGCAAAATGTGAGCCTGGAACACCGTGACCATCGGAAATATGAGTCCATTGTCAACTTTGATCACGTGATGACGGGGATGCTGGAATGCTCGTAATTGTCCTATTTTTCAGTGCCGTTGTAACGGCCACTAAATGAACTGTTGTAAATTGAGGACTACCTGTATTAAGGGCTTTTGCAAATAAGTGTTTTGGGGTGTTTTTTTTTTTTTTTTCCTCCTGTCAAGAGCTGCAGAAATAATGAAAAACAATTCCTTCCTTAGTCCTGGAGTTGTTTATAGGCGGCAGCAACTTCCCGTTTTGGGAGAGGATATGATAGACATAAAGTGGTATTTCCTGAAGAAATCTTGCAAGAACAGAGTTGGCATAGGAAAGTCGAAGAGCAATCTGAACAAACGCTGGTGGCGCAGTCGTTAGAATGCAGTATTGCAAGCTAATTCTGCTCAGTGCCAGCAGTTCGATTCTGACCGGCTCAAAGTTGACTCAACCTTCCAAGATTGGCTCAGGATTGGAGCTGTGGTGGCCCAGTGGTTGGAATGTAATATTGCAGACTGACTCTGCTCACTGCCAGCAGTTCGATTCTGACCGGCTCAAAGTTGACTCAACCTTCCATCCTTCCGAGATCGGTCAAATGAGGACCCAGATTGTTGGAGGGCAACAGGCTGATTCTGTAAACCACTTAGAGAGAGCTGTGAAAGCACTGGGAAAGTGGTATATGTCTAAGTGCTGATGCTATTCTCAGAATCTTCACCTATCTTTTATCGCATCATGAACAGAAAGCTGAGCTAATAAAATAATGTAAAAGATTACAAAGTTATGTGATATTATAATATAAAATAGTACCAAGCATAGCTGATCTCGGAAAGTAAAACAGGATCAGATCTAGTTAGTAATTGGATGGGATACGTCAAAAAAAAAAAAATCCAAGGGTTGTCTACTAGATTGGAAAACTAAAAACAATTCTGGAATATGTCAATCGCATGTCACCTCTATATTTTTGCCAGAAAAATGCATGGACATGTTGTGATCCATAGGAAGTGACCCTTAGTTCAAAAAGACCTTCCTTTAACAGACACACAGACACACAGACACACATTTATAATTATGTTTGTTGTACACAAATATACTTGTTCAGTAGATACTATTTTCTCTTTGGAAATAAGTTGTTTATTAGCATTCCGGCATATTAAACATTGGAGATTATAAGCTTTTGATGCTTGGGATGTTGGCAGGATGGATGGATGGATGGATGGATGGATGGATGGATGGATGGCCAAATAAATGAGATAGACAGATGGATGACAGGCAGGCAGGCAGGCAGAAAAAAAAATGCATTTTTCTTCCATGTAGTATTTTTAAACGAAACTTGGATTTTTATTTTCCCATTCAGGCTTAAATCAAAGCTGCACATGCCTTCATATGTGATACTTTTACACTATCAAGCACTGTCTATTTATTTACCTATTTACCTATTATTTATTTATGTATGTATTTATTTAAGTTGTTTGCTGTCCATCCCGCTGCAAGGCGACTCTGCACAACTTACAACATTTCATTAACTATCATTTGATCCTTTCATGTCCGTTGACACCCACAACGGATATGTCTTGTGTCACTCTAGTTCCACCACTCACACCCTGCACAACTGAAACACCGGATTCCATTCTTTTTTTCCCCTGACTTGACAACTGATGCACTTGGATCCCGTGCTGAGCCAGGGAAAATTCCACCAGAGTGCACTTCTGTCATAGATCAGGCAAACACCTGGCTTGGGCATTCTGCTGTTAATTTTGGAATTGCATTAGCACACAGTCCGGTGGGGTGGGGGAGGGGGAATCTGCTTCTTCACATTTTCATTATGCTTCTTTAGAGAGGAATTACAGTAATGTTCCAGGCTAGCACAGCAAGGAGGGAGGGAGGGAGGGAGGGAAGGAAGGAAGGAAGGAAGGAAGGAAGGAAGGAAGGAAGGAAGGAAGGAAGGAAGGAAGGAAGGAAGGAAGGAAGGAAGGCAAAGAAAGAGAGAAAGAAAGGGGGAAA